TAAGTCAGCTATTGTCTTGAAAGTTTTTTCGCAAAGTAATGGGCGCAGTTCGACTTGGGAGGTGCGTTTTGCAACAGTTTCTTTTGCTATTTTCCCTTAATTTGCTCGTCTCACCTTGGTAAGACCTGTCGAGTAAACGGAGCTCATTTACATAACTTCACAGAAAGTCGCAGGTCTTCACAGGAGGCATCGGCAGTGATTAACTGGAACCTGCAAAGTGCTCCCACCAAGCCGAACTGCATTGATTTTGGTCTCCCTTTATGGAGCTCAGTTTCCCTGGAAATTAAGTTAGCGCCTTGAGGAAGTGAAAGCAAGGAAGTCTGCTCCCAAGTTTACAATGCAAAGTTATCTGCCGTGATTGTGAGAATGATCACTGTGTAAAGTAACACAAAAGTAGCCTTTTTTTAAGCGGATCCATTACGCGAACGAGCGAAAGGCCTCATCCAGTACCAGATGTTGTCCCAGTTTTTCCATGTTATTTTTCTGCTTTTCCGAAGCTTGCTGGAAAGGCCAGGTGCTAAGGTAGTCGGAGGGGCAACGTTGTGCACTAAACCGCAGCAATTCGGCGCGTCCACGCTTTTGAGGCCTGAGTAGGGGGAAAAAAGGAATCACTAGCTTAGTGAGAAGAACACTTCGGACCACTAGAATCTCCCTGGTCTCTATACACTTGGAACGCGACCCTGTCCACTTGGTACGCTCCCAAACCCGCCCCTTCCTTTTGCTGGAGCCCATTGCACTTCTCACACATCTTCATTTTCACGTGTTTTGCATATCTTTATGGCTTTTAATGCATTTCCCTTTGATATGATGCCGTGTTGTGTCATTTGCTTCCAAAGGCTTAAGATTCCCATATTTCGTTTTTTTTCTGTTCCGTTTGCATGGTTTGTTTCAGCGGGTTTTTTTTTCAGTCCGTTTGCACATCATGGTTATAGAAATAGGAAGAGGAACGAGTCTTTATTGAGAGTATATTTTTCTGCGCTGAAGTAACCGGGTGTGGAGAAGTGGCAGAGCGCTTTGGTTGCCTGCACTCGGCAGGACTGGACCTCATGGAGCAACGAAGGGGGATGGGGGGAGGGGTAGACCAGCAGCCACAGTCAGTCCAGCGCCAGCGTTCTGCTACCCTCCTGTAACCACACTAGCCCCCATTTTTCCAGTACTTGTGGTCGACATTGTCGCAGTGAGTCGGAATGGTGACTGAAGGGGCAGAATGAACCCATATCCGGCTACTTTATCTAACATTGGTGGTCGGTTTTTGATCTATTCATGAAGAAAACCTAGTGGTAGGAAGTGCCGCGTGTGAGGCTCCATGCCTCCTGGCACCGCCCCGTCTGATCGAGAAGGTATAAACCGTAGCTAAGCTGACACCATTTCGTGATGACATTTCGTTATATCCTGGTGTAATCGTGTGAATACTCATTCCGCAGACCTGTACAGTTTGATTTTTCAGATATATGTTGTTATTTTGCTATCGATGAAACGCACTGGTTTACTGAGCGTGGCTCGATTCTGCTTGTTTGATGCGTCTCCTTCTCATCTATCGATACCATCAGCTGTTCAACGGAAGCGAAATCTCTTGAAACGTTCCTCAAGGGTTAGTGACTTTGAAACCTTCATTTATTTATTTTTTCATTTAATCGATGTGATGGGATTGAGACAATCTGAAAGTGGAAAACGAATGATCAGAAGGACAAGATGTTCATTCGGGTCAATACCAATAGGTTAGGGTGGAATAGGGCAACATATCCATTCGGGCCAATACCATTAGATTGGGGTGGAATAATGGGGGGAGGGGCGGGAGAAACAGTAACCGGAAAATGTATCAGTAAGGAGGATCGGGGACAAGTATTCGGCACATAATGTTCTTCCAGGATGAGCGTGACGTCGAGGAGGGCTTGGGAAGGGCATTTTGCACTTTCGCCGATTCCATTTGCTAGTTCATGTTAAGTAACAGGTCTCATATTGGTGAGACCTTTGAATCCTTGTAAAGCAACGAAAAGGTGCAAGTAAGCTTTTCTGCTGACCAGAATTCACATTTCTTTACAAATTGGCTTGCACAAACTTTCCTGAGTACCATTTGGTGCAACTACCAAGCCGAAATGCACCTCGTGGAGTTCTACCTAGGTTGCCAAGGTGCATGTGCTGGTTGGACACCGGAAAGCCAATTTGGCCGAAACTTGGGTTATTGGATTGACAGAAGCTTCAGGCAAATGCTCTTCTTGCTACAGTCAGCCATAGCACCAGTTTGTAGGACATTTCTGACAAAAAGACATACCCTTTGCTGCGCGAGGGAAAATCAAAAATCGGAAACTATCATGGTACCTCCTCTCTCTAGTGGCCAAACGCGACCCCCGTTGTGTCATACGCAATCAATAGTTAGCCCTGGCTATAATATTTCTGTGGAAATTTTCAATACGTCGTCTATCAATATTATAGAGATGGGGGCAGGTAAAAGTATTAGTGTGAGTCTTTAAACCTGTTATTACTTCGCTGAATTGTTAAAGTGAAGAGTACTTCTCATCAAGGATTTTCTCATGGCGGAATAACACCCCACTCAAGCCGCCGAATCGACCCTTTGTGATTCATCCCGGTCTACCTCTCTTCAAGAGTACTCATGATAGACGATGCTAGAACAGTGTTTAGCTCAAGTTCGGGAAACATGTGGTGTTTTGACGGAAAAATATCATCTTTGGTGTCTTGAATGTTTCACAGTGAACAACATACCGTCATTTATTCATTTATGCCCTTGAAGATTGAATATATGCGCTGTACGATTTATTTTCAGTGCGATATAAACAAGACTTTTCTTACCTATGAGTGAGGATTGAAGGCACAGTTCACGATAACCGTGTGGGCGGAGACCGTCAATCGTTGTGTCTTTCTCATGGAAATGTTCCTTCCACGGGGTAAAGAGGAGTGATACACTGCTGAGAAAAGCGCGACCGTTGAATGTCTCCGCTCACAGATCAGTTTGGCGAGTCGTAGATTCTCAAGATATTTACTAACTATTCACAGGTGACTTAAGGATATCTACCGGCGATGATCGGAAACGAACATTACCTGGTTTTTCGTTCTGAGTGACGAGCGAGACCATAGCATGCCGGTTTAGACTCTGAACTGGCGATCAAAATCTTCAAGGGGTTCCACGAAGTGGGTGGAGTCTCTCTTTGTGGGCGGGGCTTCGTGTGGCAGTCCAAAAATGTAAAAAGTGAAAAAGAAAATAAAATAAAAAAATGTGAAGTAAATGCAAAAAGTAAATGATTGCGACCTTATAGGCTTAGTCCTGTAAGTCGCGCGTTCACAAAGAGCAGGCATAATGGTCGACTGCTCTCTTAGAGATGCTGAGCAACGTTTATTTGGACACATGTTCATCAAAAGGAGGTACATACGGCCTTTATGGGCTCTTTTGGGTTGATTTATTGTAGTTTTTCGCAGTCAGTCTTTCTCCTTACGCACTAATTAGTTACATATGTCATGAACTGAGTACGAATTCGAAGAAAGAAATGATTCTCGAAGTAGCAATATCTCAAAAATGACAAATTTCGCCCAGAAAAATAAACTTAGCTATCAATTCACTGTTCCTAAATGTTTCTGTGCTAGCTTCTAATGGTTCAGACTTACTGCACAAATGTGTCGTCGCTCCCGGCCGCTCATTCGACGGTTGAGGTTCGCTTCGAAAGAGGGCTCCCGTTGTTGACTGTGAATTTACCATCACGGCAAGAATCATGTCAGTTCTCTCTGAGACCACTGACAGATGACGTCGGAAGTTTCTGCGATCAACTCCATAGAGAAGATCGTGGATTGGATTTTGTAGCAGTGTATACAAACGGTTTGTTGTCTTTATTATAATGACATGATTAATCTTTTTTTATTTCGGAGATAATCCCCGCGATTGCATATTTTGGAAAGTTTCATTCAGTAAGGGACCTATGGTTGCTGAATGGCTCTCCAGAAGAAAGAAAGCAAAAAATGGAGAACACCAGGACCCCTAGCAGCCTCACTGTGCGAGTTGTTCGGATCTGCTGCTTCCATGCTAGCTCTGCCGCTTCTGGCTCATCAACCGTTTCTTATCTCATTCTGTTACTTCCTATTAGCCAAAAAAAGGAAAAACACGGTGAACTGAACTTGTGACAGAAATCGCCTTTTGGTTTTGGTGAGCGGGACAACTAGGAAGGCGTCTACTGCATGGGGGCTGCAGGCGCCTCCATCACTATCTGTGATCTGCCCTTCAGAAAAAGGGACCATCTCCAGGACTGCCGGCGTCAGGACTACTTGCATCGAGACGCCCAGAGCTGCTTCGTGAACGCGGAGCGCTAACTGCCAAGAGCGGACGGTTAATGTGATGGCTCGCTTAACCTATTACATGCGGTTCGGGCTTCAAAATCCCGGATCAGCTTTTTTTGCATGGGCTAACCAAGCCTACACCCCTCTACGACTGGCAGATGCCATCGAAGGTTTGCCTGGACTCCCATCTTAGGCGTAATCCGCTCCTTGCTGTGTTGGCCATATCGTCACTTCGATTCTAATATCACAAGTAGAATGCACGGCATATCCCACAAGGATCAGTTGACGAGAACAGCTGACCTTTTGCTCTCTTTTCTTTCGAGGAATGTTTGGTGCATTGAGAAACCGTGTTTTGAGAGTGATACCAGGATCTTCGAACCAATGTTCATGCAGAATGTGTGGCACATTTGAACAAGGGATCAGTCAAATGCACGCCCCGCGTTCAAAAATAGCGGTTTGTGCGGATCAAATCCTAGTGATGAGATGGGAAATAAAACAATGGTGAGGAAGAAAGCAGAAAAAAAATCAGTCTGAGTTAACTCACATAGTGCCCATGCTGAATTGCACTTGCGCGAGCTGAAGACGAAGAAGGGACGTACAGACGAGTTTTCCAGCTGTACCGTAGTGGAAAAACCGCCCTCGGCTAACAGTTAAAAATGAAAGCTGGGCGTAGCCGTGGCCAGTGGGCCGGGCCATGGTTCCGTTGCCAGTGGTCTGCGCTTTCCTCGCGCATTTGAGCTGCGAAAGTAAGAAAATCCTTTGATGCTTGCGAGCAGAACTACCATGTTCAAAGAAGGCGCCCGAAAATAATGAATGCGGGGCGTGCCTCTAACATCAAAAGCTCTGTTATTTATTCTGTCCTTAATTGTTAAAGATGGAGTACGCGTGTCCATGTCAACATCTATCGAGCATCTGCTGCAGTTCGGTGGATTTCGGCTGCGACTAAACGATCGCTACTACGATGTTACAGTACCAGAGCGGACGTTAGAAGACGATTTAGGTAGTGATAGGTGAGTGAAATATTGGTTGATTCGTAAATGATAGTTTTTCTTCTAGCATAATGTTGTACTGTATGGTGCTGTATGAATGATAGTATGTTTCTTTTTTTCAAGTTCCGCCTGGGTTCTGACTTTTGCCTCAACTCAGCATAATAATTTCTGTTTAGCACCTTATTCGTTAATTCGCGATCTAGAGGTCATCACAAGAATGCTGGGTGAAGAGTTTTGACCGCAGGGGGACTAACACCCCCTCTTTAGCTCGGGCCAGCAAAATTCGAGTTGAAGAAAAGACATCATAATTCATGAACCTAATAGTACAGCAGTGGAGCATTTTTTTATTTCTTCAGAAAATCTACTTTTAAACAGTTGGGTTTTCTGTTCTGAAACTTTTTCAGAAAGTGGGTTTTGGGATATTATTGTTTTATGTTCCAACAAAAATCTCATTGTGGGCGTTTGAGACATACAAAAAAAATCTCATTGTGGGCGTTTGAGACATACAAAAGGTCATTTATCCATCCATTCTACGACTCCATGTGAGATTCTCATGGGAATAAGTCACCGGGAATAGATTTGATTGAAAATCGGTCTGTTGGGCTAGCGTGACTCCTAGCGCCAATATAATGTCCCTCAAGAATTTTCTTGTCAAGCGGATGTGGAGTTCATGTTTAAAATGTCATGTTCCCGAAGGGGCATGTCTGACGCTGGGATGGGGTCGTATTTGGTCGCCTGCAGTCGCTGGAAGGAAGGATGGGTCGTAATTGCCTGTGGAGAAAAATGTTTTCGGTAACTGACTTCTCTCGGCTTTTTGGTGTTCCATTGGGCTGTACGCTCCCCTTACCCCACCCACCCCTCGGCGTCGCATGGGGGGGGGGAAACTGACGAGAATATTCTGGGAAAAATTGCGGAAAAGTGTGGAGTAGTAGGAAATTGGCAATTGAGGAATGTGGTAGTATAGGCGCTGGGGAAAGGGATCACTCTAGAGCTGGAACCTTTGAGGGGGAAGTGGTCGATCTCTGCAAAAGTTTCTCAAACGGGCCGGACGTGCCCTGACTTCACCGCCCTAGGAATTCTTCAGCTGTGGCTCATACTTTGCTGTCACGCGTCCATTTCGCGGACCCAAGAGTAGAGCAGTAGAAGGGAGAAGCAGCAACTGGGTTGGCAGACTGGGGCAAGTAGCGAGAGAGCCAGCGCTAGTTGGATCTAGGCATCGTGAAAATTGTGGTGTCGTGGCACCATTACTATTACGCTAATTACTGTAACCGGTCGACGGTGGACGCAGGTGGTCGCTGGTGGGCACCCGTGGAGGCTGGTAGACGCTGCCGTTCGCTGGATTGATATCTATACTCGCAGACAAACGCTAGATCGATATCTATTCTTTCCTAGACGCTGACGTATGCTCGAAACCCCTGATAGTCGCTGGTGGTCGCAGGGGGACGCCGCCGCAAAGTATGAATGTAGCTTTTACCTAAATGTTAAAAAGCAGGGTGGGGAAAGGGCTATCAGAGTTAGAAAACTTAACTGAGGGTGTCGAATAATTTGTAGGGGAGAGTTCTTTGATTGACTTTTTTCCACATTGAACTTGCTGCCTTATCGTATTTGTTACAGAATACGGCAAATTGACGATCTTAAAGCAACTGTTGCCTCATTGCATGCGGCGCCGTTATGTGTAGACCGAGTTAACAAAAGTGAGATTTCAAAATATGTTTCTTGCCATTAAGAATAGGAGAGATGGGCAAGAGTATCGTAAATTGCCGCTCCGTCGCGCGTGGCAATGGGCGCGACGTTTCCTTGATTTGCTTTATCCTTTCGAGTGGAGCATCGGATTTCTTGTAGACAAGGTCATAGTAGACACTGATGTCTATTTTGGTCATACGTTGTCCATTCTCGACCAATACCACCTAAAATAGTCGTTATTAGCGGGCGCGACGCCGCACGCGACGATCGCTGGCGCGGCGAATTACGATTCTCTTGAAACATAACCCAAGAATAGGATTGCTTTGTTCTTTCTCATGCAACACTTCTCTGACCCATGAAATCAACCTGATCAATGCTGCTTAGGTAGGCAGAGAAAGGCGGCTGATCCAACAGCTGGAAAGAGCAGAGACCGAACTGCGACCACTTCACCAGGTCTGCTTTGTAGTTTTTCTTATTTGCATTACTTCTTTCATCCCTAATTTTATGGTCCAATTTTTTTTTTGTTGTTTCTTGCTATGCATGGACTATCGTGCTTATAATGGATCTATACTTCGACGTTTCTTCTTCGTTTATTTTATATTTTGTTTTTTCATTTTTAGGTTTTTTTCTCATTAGATGGCATTGTTGTTGTGCCTTTCTTTTGACTTTTGAATTGATGGTTTTTACTTGTTATCCTTACATTCTTTATTTTTGGTTCACTTTCTTAACTGGCCCGTTTTGATCTGCAGTGGAGCGACTTTTCAAATGGATGTTTCAGATGAAACTCTCCATAGAACGAGAGTGTGAGGCTCATGCTGATCGTATCATGTGGACCGGATTCGCGGCCATGGGAGTGCAGACAGGTAAATAATTTTTTTGTATTTTTTTATACTGGTTTGCCGCACAACCAAGCCGCCTTTCTTCAAGTTATGACTGTTTGTTGGTATTCAAAGGGGAAGAAACCATTGCTAGGGAACCAGTTCACCTCTGTCAAATTCTGGGCTTCATTAATGTGTACAGGCGAGGCAGAAAGATCTGGGCTTAGCTGCAGAAACAAGAATGTCCACGAGCCCATACACATATTACATTCCTGATGTTTATCCTGTGGATCACCATTCGTTGTGTAAAACAGATTAGGGCCCTATCTGGCCGTTGGGGAGAGAGGTCTCTTTTCGGTGAGGAAGTCCTTGAATCTGATCGCTGCCTTTCTTTCCCGTTTCACCCAAGCTGATGGCTAACTGGGGACCGATATACCTCTGCTTCATTACGTTTGGCCGACACAGCAAGAAACTACTATTCACTGATAGTTAGCTCGAAATGTTAAATCCCTCCACGATTTCCAAGGGATGGCATCGATGGCCACATTTCAGAAGTAGATCGAAACCTAGCGCCTTCCAATCCTTCACTTTCTGCTCCTGAAATGTTGAGACTTAGTCACTGTTTATGGAATCTCTTTGCAAAATCATATGGTCCATATTTCAAAGTTAAGGCCTGTTTGCACGATTGACATGGTGGGAGTATTCATGGGATATCATGGAACCGGTCACATATTTCGCCACCTACGCAACAGTAAAGAAAAAAAAAAAAAAAAAAACTAGTTCGCGACGTTTGGCTATTACCTGTACACAAAACAGGTTAGTACCATATTCACATAATTGCTCTCCTGAAATGTTTGGCATGTTTTCTTTGATTTTTTTTGGCGCATTTCTCCTTGGTGGGGGGGCGCCAAATGGTGCTACAGCGCTGTGCTGCTGGCCTGAATTTGGCTCTCCTGCTTACCCTTCGAGCTTCACAAGAAAGTGACAGGGCCTCACAAAGTGAGATCCGCTGATCTGTTGGAATGGGGAATAGTCGTTCGGTTTTTTTTTCAAAGAGCTTTATTTAAACCAAAACACTACTTATAACAATAAATAATCAAATATGTATTCTCCGTCATTGTTTATGACCTTGCTCCACCTGAGGCTCGTGAGGCGCCCAGGCTCCGAGTTTCTGGGCAAATCCATTGAATGAAGATGATTGAGAGTCGTTTTATGATCGCAGTTCCTTTTTGGCCAATTCACGACTGGTTTGGTGACCATCTTCCTTCAAAAGCGCCTCGAGATGCTCCTCATATTCTGCAGGTGGTCCGCTGCGAGGCGTGTCGTCGAGGTCAAAGCCGACCGCAAACCATTTTGTTGCGCGCACTCGCTATGATGCCTTTTTCGTGCCACGTTGCATATATCCACGGAGCGGCTTCCAGCCTGCTTTTGACCGTCGATGAAAATGCCGAAGAAAAAGTAGGTGTTTCGAAAATGCTGACTCTTGGGTACTCCTTCAAGCCTGAAAAATAAAAAAAAATGAAATTATACTAACAAACAAATAACACACTTTTGTAGAGCAGAAAAAGCACTTTCTATTGAATGCAAACACTTTGCCAAACAACAAACAAATCATTTAAAATAAGTCTTTGGAAAAACCGAACGAACTTATTTCCCAACCCAGTATTAATAACTAGCAGAACGTACTACCGAAAACTGTCGATAACCTAAAGTGTTTCTGCCTCTCAAGCCGAAGCGGCCACGCTTTTTTGTTCCGACGAACTCCTCGCCCTGGTTGTTTCTCCTTTATTTTCTCTCGCTTGCTGACAGCTATAATATAAACTTGTTGAAGCTGCGAAATGAGCCAGCTTAAAGGAACGTGGAGCACTTAGTTAGGTAAACACAGAAATCCTTAAAAGGTGGCTAGGGCAGAAGCGAAAGTTGTTAGTGGGGCCATGGCTCGTAAAAGCGAATGAAGTAAAACGGCCAAAAACCTGCGAAAAAAAGACCATTCGGTTCTCGTGACTCCAAAAGCAAGTTTTCGCGACGAGTTTTCCATAAGTGCAGGTGTCTCTAATATATCCTAAGTACGGCTCTGACGCTTTGCTATTCACTAACCACTGCAATCACCGCAGCCGCCTCCATTTCATACCAATCCCCTTCGCTTTCACCTTTTACTTCAGCAAATGAAGACAATACGAGACAATCATGACGGTCATCCATCTTATCAGGGGTACCTTCTCTTGGACGAAGACGCTACGCAGCGCCTGTCTCAAGGTGCGCAGAATTCTTGTTCCTGCCAGTCCAAACTGCTCCAGGTGGACGGAAGTCGTTGATGTTAGGTGGCCTGGTAAAAGTTGGCGGATCTCTCATCTGGTTGCTTACAGGATAACATTGCCCGTCGTCGATGGGAACCAGTGAAATGCTCTCTTCAAAGCGAAATGCGCCTATACTTCTTCAATTCTTCTTTTATTCAATGTGTGTTACAGTCGTTCGAATATCCCAGCGCTCGAGAGCGAGTTTACACGAAGCAGTTCTACAAACGGGCTGTAAAATATGGATTTAATATCGAGAAGTACAATAGCCTTGTAACAGAGGTGAGTGTTTTCCCCATCTTTTTTTTTCGTTTTCCTGATTTTCATTGAGGTGCCCTACACATGGGCATTAAACGGGTTTCCTGTTTCGCCAGCCGGAAAGATGGGGTGTTTTAGGGCGGCCGGCGTTGGCGTGGCTCAGCTCTGTTTCTCCGCCCAACTGTGGTTGATAGGCAAAAGGCACACGTGGTGGAGAAGAGAGCGCAGCGCTCTGCGCCAAGCTATGCCATGAACACAACCTACCCTTCCCCCCCCCCCCCTGCGACGGCTGTCGCGCCGGAACGCTCCGTGTATTGCATTGTCAACTGTGAATAAAGATTTTGCCAAGAACCACAAGAGTACGCTGGAATCCGACTAGTTTTAGTCACCAGTCACTTGTGCTAGCGAAAACACGTCAGTATGGAATTGAGGCAGGTTTGCCCGACTGGTTTCATTGAGCGCGCCTCACAACTGGCTATTTGTGTTTGGTCTCCATGGTCATCTTGGCCCTATAGGCAAGTGTTTTCCTCTTTAATAGCAAGTATACACTAATACAAAGTGTTCTTGCCTGGGTTCCCCAACACGCTCTGCATAGGGAAATCCGCCCACGCCACCTGAGCTGTGCATTCCGAAGACCGTAATGAGGCTTTTGCAGGAGCGATCTTAATGTGAATGTATACGTTCTGTAACTGAGTAAGCCGAAAAAGCTCACACCCTATGTTCAGATTACACTGAGCGCTAACAACCCTGGGGACATTACAAGGATTCCTGTGCAAAACTAGGATTATCTCGCCGACAAGCTCAACTCACACCTCTATAGATTCTGGTCCTTCCATTTATCACTGCCTTCCAGCCGAATTCACAGCCCATTTTTGAGCGGACAAAGTGGGATCCTTCTGCAGCTGCGGACCCCATTCACCCCCTTGCCAAAACCTGTACTCGGAAGTGGGTGTACAGTTTATCTTCGGCCGGGCTCAGGGACTGTTACTTTAGTTAGGAGGAAAGCCTTCCGAACGAGCGGACCTTGGTTTTCGAGTACGTTACGGCTGATTTGTTCAGCCTTATTTATTAATAAAACCATTTTTGCACCGGGAGTCATTCAGATGCTGCCCCCCCCCCTAATATTATTAGCCCCGCAATGTGGCGTCACGTTAAGAGCATCCGGCGCCCCTTAGCTGGCTAAACGGCTAAGCATTTCATAACCAGTGAAGTTGGATGTTGGTGACTGATAACGACTCTCATCGACGCATTTTTTCCAGTAAGGAGTGGTGGTCGTTGGAGGTGCTTTAAGACTACAGTAATCCCTTGCGAAGCATCAGAAGCAGATGTTCGTTGTCAAAACATGCAGTAAAGTAGATTGGAAGGCAATGTATCGAAGCGAGGGACAGGTGACGCTTTGTAGCGATTGGAAAAATCGTGCCTCACTTCGTCGGCGGGCGTCGTTTACGCAATTAGGAACCAAAAAAACTTGGATGGGTCTCTACGGTGTCACATATGAGAAGGAACTCTTATAGTCTTATGGCTTTTAGAACCCACTATTGCGAATGCAAACACTGTGGCACAGCCAATAAGGGCTTTGTTCCTCTTGTATGGCGACCACACCTTATAGAGTATAGAGTGCGGGGGACCAAAAAAAAAGCCGCTCTGTTCTGAATGGCCATCATATGTATCAGCTTTATTCAGCTTCCCATACAGTGGGACAAGTGGATTACGAAGTACAGGGCGGAAGATATCCCAGAAAATGTTCCCGATAAGCCTTGAGCTGGCCCTCGCCTATCACCTTCATGTACACAATAAGAGAACACAAATCTCCAAATGCAAGCCACTGACTGGAGAGGCGTCGGAATTCACGTCACCTCCAAACAGCTGTGGAGCTTCTTGTATGGAGTCACCCATGGATAGCTATCTGTGGGGGTCAGTACTCTTCAAACTGGAAGACCTCCAACATCGAGCAGCTCTGACAACGTCGCCACGGTCTAGGACATCATCTTCACCGCAGTCGCCAAAGCGCGGGTTGATGGTATGGACCGGACGTACCTGGAATGGAAAGAAGACCGGATATTTTCTTCGTGGGACCCTGACCTGAAGTGAGCGCTGGCGGTCACATCGACCAACTCGCGGAAATATGCCTTGCCTTTATGTCATTCGCCTGTACCTTCTTGCCAAACATAGCGTACTGCTACAGGATTGGGTGACACACCACATGAAATTGAAGGGCGTTGGAAAAACTTTCGCGTACTTGGAATAGAAGGGTGTTGAGCACCTAAAAAAGACGGAATATCCACTTGTGTCACCTGATCTGGACCACTCGAAAACCGGGTTTGGGCGGAGCTCAACAGAATGGTCTACAGCGGCGGAGAAATCAACGATCTCAGGTACCGAATCACGGTCGCGTAGCAGAATCTATCGATGGCGCTCGTCCAGAAGGCTGTGGCAGAGCATGATGATAGCATACAAAATGCTCTTGAATATGCTAGTGGAAATGTCCGATCAGAATTTAATAAAGTGTAACTTATAGCGCCTAGAACGTCAAGGAAGAAACGTGTTTTTTTTGGCCCCCTGTAGTCTTCATAATGTTTTCTGCGGCAAAACGGCATATACGAAGGGGGATCTTGTGAATTTCATCCCGAGTGCCCTAATACAACCTGCTCAGACTGAACGTTGACTCGCTCTATGAGAGCTGCCACACACCTCATACGTATCGAATTTAATCTGGTAGATGATCTTTAGAAGCCACTAAATGAATCCGAAAGACTATGATCCGAACAATTTTCTTACATCTTTGTACGGACTTGCTGTGCTTGTCCACTGTAGCTTTCCCATTGCTGTAGTGTAGTCGTAAGCCCCTAGATATCGCTGCGGTGGTATATTGCATCTCAGGAGGAGCTGGTGAGGGAAACTTTTTCTGTATGTGGTTTTCGCTTTCGCCGTACTCTGGCTGCCCAATATAGCTCGATGTCACGAGGGATGTTTCATTGGGATGGTCGCCGTCGGAACGCGACTACATGGTGTTCTGTACTAGAGATCTGAGACATGTGCCCACTGGCTCCCCCTGGCCGCACTGTGAGACCCGAACTTAACACAGTTTGGATAGGGGATACTTGCCTATCTCTGAGCCTCATGGATATTAATCTTCTATCTTCGGATTACAACAGCATTACCTTATCTTCGATGGATACGGTAACGGCGTTGCTTGTAATTTGAAGGTCTGATGACAGCGTTATCGCCGAAAGCTCACCAATAACGAATTTGATGCAAGAGCTTCGAAATCATCTATTCTACAATCTTGAGAAAGTCGGTTTTTACCATTTCCCTTGGTCGATTACGTTATGATAGCTGGTTGACTGGAAAGAAAAAAGCCAGATTCCCAAAGGCGCAGTGGTTACGCTGATCGTGTGTGCGGGGTCAGGTTTACCAACGTGGCGTTCTCATCTACTCAGCTTTCCTTTCTAGAAAGGTGAAGAAAGGGGTGCACATATGAGGAAGGTGCAGTGGCGCCCAGTTTCCGCTCATTCAATCACCGTGGACTGCCAGTGTAGATTCGCATTCGAATGCCCCTAGAAGTCGACTGTTTAGCCGTCAAGATCATTATGAGGAGAGTGAATAAGCAGAACGCTCTTTCTCTTGTTTTTCAACATAGGAAAAAAACACAATATGGATAGGTTTCTCACTCGCTGGTCGTGGATAGCTGCAGTTAATTGCCACAAGTTCACGACGAAAAATGCTAGCAAAATGATTGATTTGATTGCACAGCACTTCGGTTGCAATAACATTGGAGTTAAACATCTGTCACGATTGACAACAACAGGTTTCGTAAGCGATGAATTCTACTCAGTCAGTCATGGTAAACTTTCTATGCAGATTGGAATAGTGTTTGGACGAGAAGCTTCTGAAGTCTTCTATTCCTTTTCGCGCTTTGAAGAAGGCGAAAATCACACGGAAATGTCGCGCTTTGTTAAACTTGACTGACAGGCTTGGTGTCAAGCTGAACCCACTTCCTGGCTTGTACTGCAGAGAAGATTGTCCGATTTCATACACACGCTCTCGGACATTACTTTTTGGGAAGCCATTTTGGAGGGCGGGGAGGGGGGTGGAGAGCGTAATACACCGCCTTTCTGCACCCTTCATGATGTTTCCTGTTTCGGCGGCCTTGGAAGTAGGTAAGTAACCGCAGAGTTTTGCAGAAAACAAAGGCATACAGAAAAGGCCATTCATCAGAGGCTAATGCTCATTCATCAAGAGCCGTTCCAGGACTTTCTTGAGAGGCTGTCGTGTAGATGATAGGAGTCATTTTTCTCAATGGCATGTGATGCAATAAATAAAGCCATCAAAGCCAGAAAACCCATCAGTCGACCCAAGAGAAAAGAAAGAAGATAAATTTTTGAAAAACTGAATTCAGCTGGAAAGCGCTATGGTTTGACGAATGGATGGGGATCTCGGCAGGCGTCAATTTTTTCCAGGGCAGGCATCGTCATTGGCGTCGGCGAGTAAGAAGTGTCGATACAGCCCCTTCCTCCAAAGGAGGATCCCTATACGATCCTCTCTCACAATTATCCGTAATTTTATCGACTACCCAGAATTTCGCCGTCCAGCTGGAGGGTAACGGCGAGGGGGGATTTTGGACCAGGGGATATATAGCAAGCTCAGCAATCGGAAAAAAAGTGGAAAAAGAAACTCAGGAATCGGGAAAGGATTCTTTTGGAACCGAATGGAACGCTCTCTCCCAGCAACCAAATCCTGTGATGAAGTCTCGCCACAGCGCTATACATTTTGCAGGGTGCGCTGCGCACTGGGGCTCCCTTTTCCGACATGTCCTTGTTGTTCAGTCAATGCACTGATGTGCTTGGCCAGACGAAATGACGAAGTCGTCTTAGCTCACTAGCCTAAGTTTTAAATAAATTAGCTCACTCAACTGAGTCCCTCCAGCCCTATGCAGATCTGTCTGAAATCTTATGCAAACGATTAACGCCGTCTCTAACCACTGCGTCGCGATTGCATCCAAGTGCCGCGTCGGTAGCGTGAACCTCGCGACTGAATCGTTCGCCGACTGTGAACGCATTCTAGGTGGGCCC